AGAAGAAGAAGAAGAAGAAGAAGAAGAAGAAGAAGAAGAAGAAGAAGAAGAAATAACCAAGTTAGTTACCAAATAAATATAGAATGTTTGAATGTTTGCCATATGAAATAAAGATATCCTGTTTATAATCAACTACCATACCTCCTAGCTTCACATCTGCAACTATCAAAAAGGGGTCAGTTAAACTCAGTTGAAGAGTATAATTTCTCAATAGATAGAGCAGGTATAAGGAATAGTATGCACAGAAGAGTATTAGGAATGAAAGTGAAGAAAAACTTTATAAACATTTATGAAAAACTGAGAAAACGTTGAAAAAAGGGTATGGAGCCTGTAGATTTGCAGATGCTGTTGGCCACCTGTCTCGGCTAGCATGGCCAATGGCCAAGGATAACAGGATCTGGTCAGCAACATTTTCAGGGCTACAAGTTCTGCATGATGCCTTAAAAATAAATTAATTTAATGGAAATCATTTGTTTAACGATCAAACAATTTTTCATATTGAACACCTAGGATATAACAAATGGAACGCTTTTAAACTTTCATTCTTTCATGTGTGCTTTTCCTGAAATTTACTTAGCATTATTTATTTTAGCCTAGAATATTCATTATAAAAAGAAATTGATAATACAAACAAGTTGGCATTTACAAATACTTTTGCACATATTACTGTTGAATATTGTATAAGCTGTTGCATTTTGGCACAAATTATAAAATACAAACATTTTAAATATAATAACATGACCATGATTTTTATGAAGCACCCATGTTGCATCATGCATTTTGTATCACATATGATTGTAATCCATGTTATTAATATAATACTACACATATGCATATATAGATGTATAGACACATAGACACATATTTATTTCCATTATTTGCAATTTTTAGAAATTGTATTTTTTAAAAATGTTGGAAACTCCCTTGGATTTATATCAAAAGGCCAGGATGTAAATAATTAAACAAAGAGATAAAGAAACTTCACAACAAGAAAATCCACTTTACAATACAGATAGGGGAAATACTTTGAAAAATACATGAAAGTTATACTTTGTGAAAGATATATTTTAATTATTTATGCAAATTAATTAGACAATCTAATAATTGTCCAGTTCTGTTTTGAATGGGAGATATATTTTAAAAAATAAATATTTAAATAACAAAAACATAGGAATGGATATAAAAAAAACCCCAACAACTTACATGAGGCTGATTCAAGGGTTT